TGTATCATATTAATTCTTTGGATATTGAAAACTCTTTGTATCCTTGGGTTAAATCCCACTTGATCGTGGTATATGGCCCTTTTAATTTTTTTGTGTAGCTTGCTAGTGGTTGGTCAGCTATCAGAGCTGCAGTTTTCTTTTGCCTGGTGTCTGCTCCTCAGTGGGTGGAGGGGGTTGGGGGCTGGGTCCTAGGGTCTTTGGCTTGAAAGCCCTGGGGGTTACAGGTCTACTGCCTGCCCCCCGATATCTACAAATTTTAAAGCATACCTTGTTAGGCTTGTTGTTATTCAGTTGCTAAGTCATGACCAAATCTTGCGACCCCATGGACTGCAGCATGCCAGGCTTCCCTGTCCTTCACTGTCTCCCAGTTTGCTCAAACTCATGACCATAGAGTCAATAATGGTATCTGACCATCTCATCCTCTGCTGCCCCCTTCTCCTCCTGCCCTCCATCTTTCCCAGCATCAGAGCCCCTTCCAGTGAGTCGACTCTTTGCATCAGGTGGCCAAAGTATTGGAGCTTCAGCTTCAGCATCCATCCTTCCAGTGAATATTCAGGGTTGATTTCCTTTAGGATCGATTGATTTGATCTCTTTGCAGTCCAAGGGACTGTCTAGAGGCTTCTCCAACACCACAGTTCAAAAGCATCAGTCCTTCGGTGCTCGGCCTTCTTTCTGGTCTGGCTCTCACATCCATACGTGATTACTGGAAAAGCCATAGCTTTGACTCATATGAACCTTTCTTGCCAAAATGATGTCTCTGTTTTTTAATACACTGTCTAGTTTTGTCATAGCTTTCTTTCCAAGGGACAAGTGTCTTTTAATTTCATGGCTGCAGTCAGACTACCTACAGTTAATTTTTGAGCCCAAGAAAAAAAGTCTGTTACTGTTTCCATTTTTTTCCCCATCTATCTGATATGAAGTGATGGGACTGTATGCCATGATCTTAGTGTTTTGAAAGTTGAGTTTTAAGCCAGATTTTTCACTCTCCTCTTTCACCTTCATCAAAAGGATCTTTAGTTTCTCTTTGCTTTCTGCCATTAGGCAGAAATGCTTATCTGCATATCTCAGCTTGTCAATACTTCTCTCAGCAGTCTTGATTCCAGCTTGTGATTCATCCAGCCTGGCATTTCACATGATGTACAAACTCCAGGAAATGGTGAAGGACAGGGAGGCCAGGTGTGCTGCAGTCCACAGGGTCGCAAAGAGTCAGACGTGACTGGGCGACTGAACAACAACTCTGCATAGAAGTTAAATAAACAGGGTGATGCCGGGAGCCGGCACACGAGATCCCACCCATGACAAGGTCATGAGGAGAAAACCTGACAGGCAAGGCGGATCAGGTTTTCAGGGATTCCAAAAAGCTGCCCCCGGCACTCACCTTAAAGATGATATCTCTCTTTCTGATGCTTGCTTCAATAGACTTCTCCCTAATATCTGTGACAGAGGCAGAAGGCCTTCCCCGATCTCTTCCCAACTAAGAATCAATTTAGAACTTTAATCAATAAGTTTCCCAGGTGGTGGTATTATGAGATTATCCACGGTGAGGAGTGTTTTAATTTAAACTCCTTTGCTGGTAGTTTGTTTGCCAAATGCATTTATGCCCTTGGTACTAATATGCATGATTGCTTATAATATCCTAATCATAAAATAGCATAAAGAACCTGATTATATAAAAGCCCTAATAGACATAGAGCCTTTTTGGGGGGTGAAGGAGTCCTATTAGAAAACATAAGAAAAATTATTCTAAAGGTGGTTATTGGGTTAACATTTGCTTGCTGTGTTTTTGTTCTTAATGTGCTAAGTGTGTTATAGAAACCATTGTTAATATAGATCTAGAAAAATAAGAGCTTAGCCCTAGTGTGGTAACAATGAAATGGTTGTTAATTGTCAGCCAGGAGTGCTAGGCAGAAGCTGCCTCACCAAAGTCACAGAGTCAGTGTGGGGTAAACTTAGATAAACTGACAACTTCTGCAGAAGGATTAATTTTTATGTTAACATGGTTATACTTCTACTCTGTACTGTTGCCCTATGAGACTGCTACCTTTCAGTTAAGGTCACCATAGAAACAGAAAATAGGTTTACATTCACCTGACTTGCATAAAATGTTAATAGGCCCCAAGGCCAGAAGATAATGTACAAGACCCTCCTAAACAAAGAAGTATGCAGAAAACACCCTGGTTTCGTGAAGAACAAGCTGATATAATGTTAAACTATCTTCCCCTTAGAAATGTATTAACTTAGGGTATAAAAACTATGGTAAAAAATAAAGCATTGCCAAACTCTGCTGCACCCCCCGTCTGGTCACTCTCTCTCTCTCTCTCTCTCTCTCTCCCTCACAGACTTGGCCCTATCAAGGCTGGTCTCACATCTCTCTCTCTCGCCGACGCCATTCATCCTGAGGGTACCCCCTGGATCCTGCCGAGGCTGGACCCTAGCAGGGTGACAGTATACAGCCTTGACATACTCTTCCCAATTTTGAACCAGTGTGTTGTTCCCTGTCCACTTCTAACTTGACCTTCATACAGGTTTCTCAGGAGATAAGTAAAGTGGTCTGGTCTTCCCATCTCTTTTAAGAATTTTCTACAGTTCATTGTGATCCACATAGTCAAAAGCTTTAGTGTAATGAATGAAGAAGAAATAGATGTTTTTCTGGAACTCCCTTGCTTTCTCCGTGATCCAACAAATGTTGGCATCTTGATTTCTGGTTCCCCTGCTTCTTTGAAACCCAGCTTGTATTATATACATCTGGGAGTTCTTGGTTCACATGCTGCTGAGGGATTTTGAGCATAACTTCACTAGCATGTGAATTAAGTACAACTCTGTTGTAATTTGATCATTCTTTGGCATTGCCTTTCTTTGGGATTAGAATGAAAACTGACCTTTTCTAGTCCTGTGGCCACTGCTGAGTTTTCCAAATTTGCTGACATATTGAGTGCAGCACTTTAACAACATCATCTCCTAGGATTTTCAACAGCTCAGCTGGAATTCCATCACCTCCACTAGCTTTGTTCATACTAATGATTCCTAAGGCCCACTTGACTTCATACTCCTGGATGTCTGGCTCTAGGGAGTGACATGTAATCACAGATGAAATCCTTAGCCATTTCAAGCTTGTTTCTTCATATGTGAATGGGGCTGATAATAAGACTATGGTTACTGTGAGGAATGAATGTGGAGATGCTCACAGAGCAGCCAGTGCAGTTCTTGGGACATTGTATGTATTCAGTGTACTTTCAGTTCAGTCACTCAGTCGTGTCCAACTCTTTGCGACCCCATGAATCGCAGCACGCCAGGCTTCCCTGTCCATCACCAACTCCCGGAGTTTACTCAAACTCATGCCCATCGAGTCAGTGATGCCATCCTGTCATCTCATCCTCTGTCGTCTGCTTCTCCTCCTGCCCCCAATCCCTCCCAGCATCAGGGTCTTTTCCAATGAGTCAACTCTTAGCATGAGGTGGCCAAAATATTGGAGCTTCAGCTTCAGCGTGGCCAAAATATTGGAGCTTCAGCGTGGCCAAAATATTGGAGCTTCAGCTTCAGCATCAGTCCTTCCAATGACCACTCAGGACTGATCTCCTTTAGGATGGACTGGTTGGATCTCCTTGCAGTCCAAGGGACTCTCAAGAGTCTTCTCCAACACCACAATTCAAAAGCATCAATTTTTCGGCGCTCAGCTTTCTTCACAGTCCAACTTTCACATCCATACATGACCACTGGGAAAACCATAGCCTTTGTTGGCAAAGTAATGTCTCTGCTTTTTAATATGCTATGTAGGTTGGTCATACTTTCCTTCCAAGGAGTAAGCATCTTTTAATTTAGCTCTTATTAATTATTCACGTCACTGACATCAGAGTTGAACAGGAGAGAGGATACCTGTGTCACACCACTCAAAGCTACTCTCCTAGGTTTATGTATATTCATTAATAATGGTCCTGTTTTATTTATTTTGCTCACCAAGACACACTGGAGAACTTTTAAATTGCCTTTCTTGAGTACACTGTCTGACATTGCTTTATTTATTTACCTAATTCTTCCCAACTCAGCCCCAAAACTTAGTTTTTTAGTGATCCATCCATCCAACTTTTTCCAAGACACTTTAACTACCACTCTTATTTCTTTTAAAACCTCAAAATACCTAAATAATGAATTCTACCTGGTAGGTAAGAGCATATGAAGTAATTTATTGATACTGGTTAAGATCCGTTATATACAGGTAGAAACCATCAAAATTGTACAGGGAACCATGAAGAATATTGATAAAGACAGTTTTACAGACAAAATAACAACTGGAAAATAGTCTTAACATACACAACATGTAATTATGAAAAAAACGTAGAACACAAATTGTTCCACAAAATAGATTCCAAGGTTATTTAAAAGTCTGCTATGCAAACCTTAAGTTGAAAAATGTTCACTGGGGTTATACTGTTTTTAAAAAATTAAGTATAATGTAAAAATTAAGGTTTTTTTATCCCTTACTATAAATGGGAGAGGAACTGAGACAACTTTTTACCCCAAATCTATACATTTTGAAAAATAATTTATATGTCTAGCACAAAGAAAGAAAATTGAGAATGTTTACAGTTCTGTAAACTATGCCTTTCATGAAATGCAAACTGCATAATTTTCTTAAAATTGTGCAATCAGAAATAGACTGTTCCCTTTAAGGTACAATTGTACCTCAATTGGCTTTATACCTGAGCACCAAAGCTGAAGTTCTAAAATGCCATCTTGGAAAGCTATTCTGAAAATGAGCAAGAAATCAAAACTAGACTGTTACTATCCGGAGAATTAGGCACCAAAAAGGAGATTGTCTCCTTAGAAATGCAATATTAACAATAGAGCAGTTTCCGTTAATTAAGCAGCTGACAGATCTCCTTGTGAACACAACAAAGGAAATCCACGTAGGATGATCCTCCATAAAGTCCTTTGTCTTCTACCAGGAACTGTCGGAAAACCATTTCTGGCTGTTCTCGCTGCTTTACTATCGTCAACTAGGAAGAAAACAACAAGGCAGCTGGTTATACACATTTTCCAAATGTGGCTCAATTTTGTATGCTTTGGTTCCACCAGAATTACATGTCTGTTGTCTATGAGGCCTTGGAGGAGGATAAGAAAGTGCCTGTTACCCAGAGTGGAGAGAGGCGTTGAGCGCAAAGCCACAAAAATCAAGACATAAGTGGCAACAATGAAACACAAGCAGAAAGCCATGGAAACGGCTTCCCAACGGCAGTGACTGCTGAACTTGAGAGGACAGGGTAGATTCCCTTAAGGACGTGGGACCGGGGAACCGCGTGCCAATACACAGTCCTGGACCGCAGGTAAATCAGCACACACTTCTAGGAGTCAGTGGGAGGTAACGAGTTTGGGTTTTTGTAGGAAAAGTGGTTCAGTGAAGGTGATGAAGGTGCGCAGCGTTCATTGGGGGTGAGGGAAACAGGACAGGAAGAGCTGGAAGCATCTAAGGCAGGAGACGGTCAAGACCTGAATGAGGCAGTGTAGTGCCAAGGAGACAGATGGAAAAGATAATCTTCTTAAACTGAAGTTAATCTTAAAATATTCAAAATAATTTTACACCAACTACATGTGGAAATGGTAATATTTTGGACAAGTTAATAAAACCTTATCAAAATTGTTGTTTTTCATTTTAATTGTGGCTGCTACAAAGCATAGGATTAATGTGCAGCTTGCATTATTGGACAGTGCTGCTCTAGAGGGAAAGACCTGTGGGGAGGAAGCCCAGAAAAAGATAGTTTGTCATGAACGCTCTCAGCTCTTCTGTTGACCCACTTACTCACTTCTGTTTCAAGAAGTTAAAGCAGACGATCAGAATGGTCAGAATTTGATATCTATTGAGCTGCGTGTGTGGTTAATGGAGACAGATGTGCAAAACATTGTCTCCATCTACCACCTGTATAATTAAGAAGAACCAGGGCATCTTCTCTCACTTCCTTCTGCCTGGTGAAACCACCCGAAGTGCCTGCTGCTACCAGCTTCACACCGGCTACGGCGAGGAAGGCACGTTCCATATCGGCTGGGTGCAGCTACCGTTTTGAGCTGGCGAGTCCCATGTGGATACGGACACACGTGACGTCTTGGCCGGTCCGTGCCAGGCCCTGGCAGCTGACACTGGAGCAGCGGTGTGCAGTCATATCCCATCTGACGGGGGGGAAAGACACTAGCCCCTCTCGTGGGAACATGGCCACGGAGTTTAAAGTGTGCATCCTGGTGAGTCTGAAACCAAAGTAGTTTTCTCGAAAAGAGAAATTTATACAAGTAAATTGTCTTCTCCACCTTTTCCCAGGTGCCGCTAGGACTCTACCATTGTCTGCTATGGGAACACCAATGTGGGTCTAGCCTCAGACAGCTCAGGCTGAGACTGGGCAGAATAAAAACACCATGGAGGGAAGGATTTGAGGCCCTAATTTCCTTAGAATTTAATTGTTCTATGGAAATTAATGGAAGTTCATATTGCTCATCTGGGGGATACTGCCATTCATGTATTGATTTTTTTGGTTTAAATGTAGTGGTCACCGTAAAACCTCCTCTGATGTGTGCATCTGGCCATAATCTGAAGTAGGAAATAGAAGAGGGAATGAATTCAACCTTGGAAGGAACTCATCTTTAAGGTAAAGGAATTAATATCCTGCTCTCGCATTTGAGTCTCTACAAAGCTAGATCATCCAGGACTTGGTGGAAAGTCTCAGGGAACTGCATTTAGAGAAGTGGTGGATGTGGCGTCTTGATGCACTGGTAGTCTCATGGGTACACCACACACGTCAGAGGAGAAAGTACAGTGGGAGGGACGCAGCTCTGGGGTGTAGGGGTGGGGAGGGGAGAGGACTGTAAAACGGCCACTACTGGTCTGCACCCCAGGTTCCTGTGTGCCCTCTCTGTGGAAGGACTGGTCAACCCAACTGGTCCAAATGGGATATTCTCTGGGCCATGTTACCGGTGCTTACAGAATTATTGTACTTCAAGATGCATTTTCATCTCTCACATTGCCTGTTTCACAGGGCACAGATAAATGACGGCAGTGATCAGGAGTATGCTGAAGGAGGGGAGAGCGCCATGGGTATAACTCAGGAGAACGCAACTCGTCCTAAGAAGCAGGTGAATGAAGGGAAGCCAAATGAAAAAGGTCAGTGAGAAAGAATCAGGAGAGTATGATGTCTTGAAAGCAGACAGAAGAGAAAAACGGAGGAAAGCAGTAGTATTCAGTCCTGCAAAGGGGTGGTGAATAAAATGTTTTTAGCAGTTTGGCAGTTCAGAGAAAACTGGAGATGGGAAGAAGGAAATTACAAGCAGTTATTAACATTTCAGGAGGCATGGTGGTGTAATGCCTGCTATGTTTCTAGTGTTCAGTACAAACTTGTGGGATACAAAGGGAAAGCAAGCAGCGTCTTGGAGAAGCAACAGCTTCAAAGAAGGAAGATGTGAAAACAGCTTGTAAACTGGAAAGGAGCCAGTGGGGAGGGAGTATTCTAGGAAACACAAGAGGAAGAAGAGATACTTTGGAGCCTGGAGAACCATGAGCAGGGCAGGACTAGAATTTCAGTAAAGCATTTGATTTAGGTAATCTGGGAATACGCTGTGATAGAAATTTTTTTGTTTTGTTTTGTTCTCCCACAAATGTAAGACTGCCAACAGTGAGGTCTAAGAGGACTGATTCTCTGAAAAACTAACTAGCATAATCGAGAAGGTAGCAATGCCTTCTGGTTTGATTTTGCTATCCTTGTCCCTTTTCTCCTCCTAGTCAGTCTGGACTCTTTCAAAGATACAAAGACTCTTTAAATGCGTTTTCATTTCCTTTGTGTGATCCATTTTCAAAGGTTGGAGAAAAAGATGTAAAACCAAGTGCACTGGACTGAACAGCCAGGACAGGCCTGTGTCTGTTGTGACCTAGCTGTGCGCCCTGACCAGTTGAGTGCACTCCTCCTCACGTCTGCTAAGCAGCAGGGGCAGCTGAGAGGCTGTGGGGGACCAGGCATCTCCTGGATTCCTTCAGCTCTCACATTTCTGGATTTTAGATTTTCAAATTCTTTGAAACCCTGAAAATGTCAAGGATTTTTCAAACAGAGTTACATTTGCAAGTAGCACATAAAAAAAAAAATCATTCAAGCTAAAATTAATATTAATATTATATAATTTCTTATATTTTATTTACATATCATATTTGGAGTCTACTGCAGATATTTTAATAACCAAAGCTGACATGACCTTGATAAGCAGGTCATGGAGCAGGTGAGAGAAAGCAGAGGCGAGGAGAGGGTTTTCTTTTTTCCTGGAAGAAGGGGTTGCTGAGCGCAGGGGTGACCACCACGTTTAGTCTGGCTCCCTCTCTGCAATGTGGGGCTGATTTGGAGACGCAGCCACTAGGACACAGGTGGATCACGCTTGCTGTGCATTCTGAACACTAGTGGCGGTCAGTCTGCGTGTCAGAAGACCCTAGGATCTCATCACATGTCTCCAGGGTGTTCAGAGTGTTGTGTGAAGAACATGTTTAGTTTGAGCCTTCTCTGCCATCTCTAGGTCTTGCCCTAAAACTGAACCCAAGTAGTGATGTAAAAACACTTCTGGAAAGGTTTTGTTTACCCAGATGTCCTAGAGATTATAAAGCTCTTTATTCAACTTTCCTAAGTTCTACTAAAGTTGACGTTTGCGTGCATGCCTATCATGGTAAAGAACATTGATATAAACTGACATAATATTTATGTTTCGGGGGAACAAGAGCCCCACAATACCCTGGTTCTTGTAGAGGCCTGCCTGTAGCTGAAAGTTCTGCACCTCGGCAGGAAGTAGTACAGTAATAGACCACCGTCATCTGTACATTCCAAGCAACTCTACTGTTGAGCTTGAAAAGGAAGACAGGGGTGAGTACTTGGCACTTAGCAACAAGGCATAATTTTCCTGACTTAACAGACATTTTAAATTCTTTTACTCACACTCAAAAAAAGCTTGGAAAGACTGAGATAACATAATTTTTCAGAGATAATAAAAGCTGTAAAAGTCAAATGTAACAAATTATTTTATACTTCTATAATTTTAAGCATTGAAGGAAAATCATTTCAAAGACTTAATATCAATTGTTTCTAAGTTAATACTTAGTAAGATAACCCTTAGTTAATGCATGGTGATAGTTATTTTTGTATGTGTGTGGTTGACAGGTAGGTAGGTATACTCAGAGATTGTGAGTTTTCTATCAGAAGTCATGTTATAAAAATATAGGCCATGCATTTTAAAGTCTGTAAGGAAATCAGAACACTTGAAGAAAGAAGAAAATCTCATTCTTACCTTCATTGAATATGGCCGCTTTTGCTGGATAATACCCATTATCATTCTGAGTGTTTGCGAGTATGGATTTCCCACCTCAGGCAATAATGTCTAAATTTAAGGAAAATAAAATTTAAGTTTCAGTACAACATTTAGATAGAAGCAGAATGAGATTATTAGAATGTTAAAGTTAAAAAACATCCTTCCAAGCTGTTGGCTTAGTTCATTTACCTAAAAACAAAACATGTGAAATAAAAATGCATTAAAAATGATTCAGCATAATTTGACACAAACAGTATATGATTTTTGCAAAGAATGTCAACTCACCATGATTTTAATTCCTTTCCAAGATAGATATTTCAAGGCTGTGTTATGAGAGAAGGATGTAGTTCACTCCTTTAGTGGGTCAGCGGCAGGACCCTGAGGCATTACCCCACGTGGAAAATGCCATCCAAATACCACTGTCCCAACATTCAAACAAACCACCAAATGCTAACTTCTCAGAGGGAATGTGGCCTTTTAGATTTCCCTGAAATCTGGGTGATGGTATATAAGAGAGAGCACCCATTGCATGTGGCCCCTGGGGGCCATGAAAGGTCTGGACTTAGAAATGTTAATGCGTACTTCTAAGCAAGGAGATACCAAGAGCTAAGACAACATCTGTGAGTTAGCCACTGGAAAAGTGAACTGGAATATTTTACCAAAAAGTCACACATCTCAGGAAAGGATCATAGCCAGTATTTTTCACAGGGGTTGTTAAAAAAAAATGGCAAGAAATTCATTATTTATATTCACATTCCACACCCTCTGTGTATTCTCTTGACATTTAAGACCATTTTTTAAATTTTCATTAAAAAAAACATAAAGTAAGTATACTTTATGTATATGTCTCAAAGTGCCAACTGCCTCTAAAAAGAAAGCAATATTTGTTTTTTTGTCTTACTTTTTGAAGAAGGTTGAGAAGAAATATGGTGACATAAGCACAAAACTAGCAATCTGTTGCTTTGTGGTGGACAGACTTTGGCTACTTCATATGTATGTTCAACAAATATGCATTAACAGTTATTTTATATGTGAAATTTAAATTTAATATGTGAAACTTATATTTCATATATGAAATAAGAGGCTTCCTTAAATTTTATATAAACATTCTTCACACTCATAGTTCTTTGCCCATTGAATTTTAATTTTTAAGAAATTGCCTTTCTAATCATTCTTAATTTCAACCACATGCAAACATATTACTATTTCTAAATCTTCATCTTAAAACTAACCTCTTAATGGATACCTTTAACTTCTTTAAAAATATATTTTTACATTCATACTAGATATGCAGCTCTCTAAACTGATCACATATCTGTTTAACCTGAAATTTTAATCTAAACTCCTCCAGATGCTATGTGTCTACCTTCATACCAGAAATTAAAGCCTTAAGCCATCTGCCAAAACATGAGTGAGGACTCAGGGAACAAATGCTCTGCTGCATTCTGCATCTGAATTCATAAGAGAATCCAGTTGAGCAGAGGAAGACAACCATCACAGCAATGGCGCTCACACGATGGTCTGCAAATAAGGTATGCAGTCAGTGTGCTTCTCAAAGTATACTAGGAAAAGCAGCAATTATAGTTTAAGAACATCATTTGTGTTCATTCCATATCAAATCTAAAATCTCTTTTGAAATAAATGAAACAGAAGGGCGCATAATTTGTTTTTGTGGGGTGGTCATAGCTGTAGCTGAACGTGCATGAGAGATTCTGCATCCTTGTGAATATGCAGTTCAGCACCAGGGATGAGCCCAGAGCCTGAGACCAAACTTACTTCCCACCTCTGCCACTTACTACTGAAAGAACCTGTCTCTATGCCTCACTGGAGCTGTCTAGAAAATGGAAATGGCAACCCACTCCAGTGTTCTTGCCTGGAGAATCCCAGGGACAGGGGAGCCTGGTGGGCTGCCATCTCTGGGGTCGCACAGAGTCGGACACGACTGAAGTGACTTAGCAGCAGCAGCAGCAGTATCTGTGTCACCGATTTGTTACAAGAATTAAATGAAACAGTGTATTTAAAGTATTTGGAGCACAATGATTAACAAATAGGAAATGGTCTGGTAGTGTTCGCAGTCTCTATTAAAATCATATAATTTGGCTGTTGGATAATACTTTATACAAACAACTTTATGCCAGCTAATTGTTATTCATTAAAACATGAAATTCTCTTATATATAACTACAGACCTTATTGTTTTCTCTATAATACATGGTTGCACATGAACAAAAAGCATTTAAGAATTTATTACTGCAAAACAAAGGAAAAAAATATACCTACCATATCTGTGTTGACATGTGCAAGAGATGGCACGTTAAAGATTCCTTGAATCAGTTCTGGTGGGCTACTTACTCCCAGCCATAAGAACATGTTTAGACCGTTCGCCAAGAGGAATATTCCTTCTTCTGAAAGACGGGTCTCAGAGCAGCGAATAGCAGCAGGTAATGTTGTGCTCTTGACATCCAGGGTGTGCTGCGAGGCAGAGGCCAGAGTCAGAGGCCCTCCTGCTCCCCCTTCCTCTCTTACCCCCTCCCCCTCCTCCCTCGCAGTTCACATTCAATGAGTCCTTGCCCTGCGCCAGGCATTCTAGTCATTAGACAGTTATCCCCGCCTTGTATAGCTGTACAGCCATTTTTTGGAGGAAAGAAAAGACAGCAGATAAATCTAGGTGTATACAAACTTAGACGGCGTTAAGTGCTGTGAAGCAGGGCAGTGGGACAGAGCCCTCTGGTGGTACAATTTCACACAGGGGAGGCCAGGAGGTTTGCTAAGAAGGTAACACCTGAGCCGGCCGTGCGCATTCCAGATGGGGAGCCTCGGGGGCAGAGGGACTGAGGCGCAGCACTTTCTCGGCCGTTCAGGGCTCCGCTAGGAGCCCGGTGTGGCTGGAGCAGAGAGTGAGAGAGAAATAAGCTGAGTCAGACAGAAAGCAGGGGGGCTTCTCCGGAAAGGGGACATCCTGAAGTGTTCTGAGGGGCGGAGGGCCGGGAACCGACAGTGACTTGAGCAGCGTTATTCTAACTTCCGTGCCAAAAAGTGACTGCGGGGCCACAGGTGCCAGCAAGCAGGCTCGTTAGCAGAGGCGACTCTGCTGGAGGCGGGGTGGTGGCAGTGGGCGAGGAACTCTGGGTGTTCTTGGAAGGACGAGCTGGCACTGCTGACGGCTGCGATGTGGTGGGTGAGGAAGGAGAGAGCCAAAGGGTGAGCGTGGGCCTTGGGTCAACCGGAAGGAGAGAGGAAGACTGCAGGAGAGGAGGCCCAGCGCGCTCGGGGGCGGTGCCCGGCAGAGCCCACGGAGACGGGCTCCAGGGGCGCCAGCGCCAGCGCCGCGGAGCTCAGGACAGTGCCGCCTACAGACGGGAACTCGAGCGTCGGTGCAGGTGCAGACGGTGGCTGCCGGCCTGACGCAGGTCAGACCCCCGCAGGGCTGTGTGCACAGACAGGAGAAGCGTCCTGGGGGCTGAGACCCGGGGGCCGCACGGGGAAAACGGTAAACCAGCAAAGGCGGCAGCGGGAGAGGCCGGGGAAGCAGAGAAGCCGGGGGAAGAGGGCGCTCTAGAGGGAGAAGCTGTCGGGTGCCGTGCTCACAGCAGAGGACTGCGAGCAGCCCACTGAGTTTATTAACATGTTGACCACCGGGACCTCGGCGAGGCAATCGTAGTAAGACCGTCATGTCCGTGTCCCCGAGGGTCCTAAATTCTCTGGCAGAGTCCAGTTTTATCTGAACATCAACTATTTGAACGTACGTTAACTCTTCCTAATTGCAGTACTACTGAGAGCCTGGGCGTGAGCTTTAATCCAGGAGTCAGAAACCAGCCCTCGGCTGTCCCCTCTCTGATCCCACAGTTATAACCTGCTTGCTAGGTCTCGGGGGGAAGGAGCCGAGGCAGAGAGCACGTCAGGGCTGTCTTCAGTAAAGAAGCAGAATGCATCACCAGGTAAACTCTGAGGGCATCTGCACAAGGCTCATCAGAGGCATTCCAATTCAATGTGGTGACTATCAAATAATACACTGTCTAAAAACAAACACACGTGTGTTTATAAAAGTCCATACAGATACAGCAGTTGCCTTCATGCCATAAAGTAGATTTCTTCACCTGAGGCTGGGCTTCCTGACCATTCAGTGCCTAATCCGTCAAAGAATCCTAACCCGTCTGGGAATGAGGGCAGAGAGGCGTTCACCCAACAGCTCGGTGAGCTGGAGCGCCCCGCCCGGAGGCCGTCTCAGGCCTGCGCGGCACGTGACACCAAAGTTTCTGGTTAAGAACAACCTGGGACTCTCTCCCGGACGTCTCTAGGAAATGCGCCACCATAACGCGCTTCCTACTTACTATGGGCAGAAGCTGCGGGTAAAAGAAGAGCTGCGAGTCAGCCACGCCCATGGTCATGACCAGCTGCCTCTGGTAGGCCCGCTCGTCCGTGGAGATCTCGGGTCTGCCGAGCAGCACGCAGTTCTTCAACAGGCTGTTCATGTACACCGGCAGGACTTTCATGGAATCCGGTAAGATCAGCTGGAAGAGAGAAACACCGGGTTCAGATGCTTGCTCTTTACTGAGAATCAAGACCCACTGCACTTTACCTGGAAAAGAGGAACATTTGCTTTCTGAGGTTGCAGAGAGGACGAAACGGTAGCCCATACACACCCCCTAGAGCAGGGAAAGCAGCACTGCTCGCCGCGGGGGCTCGTGGCCCGGGCTATGCGTCTTACCCGCTGTACGCCTCTCAACATTTCCGTACCCTCTCTTTTCCTCCATTTTCTCTTCTAAAATAATAGCACCTCTACTTCACGATCCTGGGGTGGTTAGGAGGATTAAATTATTTCTAATTTGTGGAGCACTTATAGTAATGCCCATCACACAGTGTCATATACACGTTTATTAAATAAAATGAAATGTATAAATTATTTCCTAATCTGTATTACCAGCTTCTTTCTACCTCTTGAGTTCAAGAACAGCATTTCCGGCTACCCCTGAGATCTCTCTTTCTCTGTGCGCTTCCTGCAGCTTAAACTCACACAGTCACAGACTCAGACACTGGAGGAGGGCTGTGTCACAGGTTCTGTCAAAGCATTAAGGCCTCTGCAGAGGAATGAGCCACAGTCCACATGCAAGATGTCTAATGTGCACTGGGGATGATATGCATATAGACAGATAAACCGTAATAAGGAAAATTCAAATTAAAATACTGTTCAATATACATAGAAATTAAAACAGGAAATGTTTTGTGACTTTATTAGGTATGTCACTAAATGATAATAGGAAAAAATCAAACTCCTACAATTCAACAAACATGTTTTTCTTCTTACGTTTCCTGTTTTAGATACTAGAGCTACTAGATGAACCCTAATTTCATTTTTTCTTTACCTTCAATTAGAACACAAATTCTCTCCATTCCTTTATAATCCACCTTTGTAACCTTTAAAATCCACCTGTACCTTCTTCCTCTCCATCCTCTCTTTGGCTCATGTGACCTCATTCTGACTTCATTCTAACTGCCTCCAAGTACATACCATAATATGATGCTCCAAATAGTAACACAATGAAACAATTCTAGAAACATGAGTAAAAAAATTACAAATAATTTGCCTGTCTGTTTAACCTTAGCAACACAGTTTTACAAATATGGCTAAGAATCAAGAGAGACTGAGTGTCAGTTCTTCCATTTAACAGTAGGTCAATGAACAACAAAACATCCAAAACAAAAGCATATACAGGAGATAGGTAACCTGCAAATATAAACATCTGGTCTATAAATTCATGATTTCTTTTTAGCTTTCTATTTTAATGATGAAAAAAAATATACACTTAACATGCTGAAAAGAAAATTTCCCTTATGGCTCTGTTATTAATAGGATCTATTTTATCGCTTCCCATGATCTTCTAAGTAAGAAATATGTAAGACAGAACTTTCTAACTGATTAAGGAAAATATATTTTAGAACAATTCTACTTTGCAGTTTGTTTTTCCTCTCAACTTTTATCTCCTTTCAAAAAAACCAAAGACAGTGAGATAAATGCATGTTTCCTCATGTGAGGAAACACTCTTTGAATTTCTTCTCTAGCATAAACTTTTTTTTAATTGAGAAATAATGTTTAGCATTATATTAGTTTCAGGTATATAACATAATAATTGATACTTGTATATATTGTGAAATGAGAACAATTCTAGTTAACATCATCACCATAAAAGTTACAGAATTTTCCTGTGATGAGAACTTTTTAATATTTACTCTTGGCAACTTTCAGACATGCAATACTTTATCATTAACTACAGCAGCTATGCTGTACATCGTATCTCCATTACTTGCTTATTTTATAACTGGAAGTTTGTACCTTTTGAGCCCCTTCACCCATTTTGCCCACCCTCCACACCTCCCTGCAGCCACCAATCTCTTTTCAGTATTTGAACTTGGTTCTTGTCTTTTAGATTCCCCATATAAGTGAGACCATATGGTATTTATCTTTCTATGACTTATTTCACTTATTTAGCATAAAGTATTTTTATTTGACAGCATTTGGTACTGGAATATGTTTTCAGCCAAGGAAAATTAGGAGTAAAAAAAAAAAAAATTACGATCCAAGGACACAAACAATGGTCATTAGAGTTAAGTGGCTCCAGGGCTATTTCTGGGCTAATTACCAGTTAGGCATCTTACCTGTTATGGATTAAAAATGTTCTTAGATCCCCATAGAGAAGCATGTATGTACAGTTTTTAAATATTATCTTGCAATTCACTGGCTGTTTCTCATTAATCAGGTCATATTAAGACAGTTTAGAAATTTGTTGCCCTAAATACCACAGAGAGTTGAGCCTGGCCTGTGATGACACTTTCAGGACTAAAAAGTCTGATTAGAGGAGACTATGGAGGGCAGAAGGAATAGAACAGAGAATGAAAGGAAGAAGGAAATTTTGTGATGAAGAAAAATGAGTTAGAGTGAAAGAAAACAGACAGTCAATGTTTTTGAGGTAGGGAAGAAAATGTGGTAACAGAGCAGTACTTAAAACCTTTCCCTGCCTCCCTGATCCTCTCCATAAACAGTGAAGTTACTCTTGAGAAGACAAGGTGTGAGTGAGGAGGGAGTGCAAATTCATATGAGTCCAGTTTGCCTGAATTTGGAGAACTCTCTGCTTTGGGTTTTGAAGTAACTGATGTGGTAATGGAAAAAAAAAACAAAAAACTGTTACTTTCCAGTTAAGGTGATGCGACTTACCTCCTGCAGTCAGTGTACTCCCATATGATGTCATGTATTTAAGTTTGGGACAGTGAGTTGTTATATTTAATAAAAAAGGGAGCTACATTGCTTATATAAGCTTAAAAAATTGTTTTAATGTTGTTTTAAATTATATGTCTTAACTCAGCATCTATCCTATGACCTGCAGAATGGGTGCCTCCTTAAATTTTGCACCTTAAGCTCCTCTTTTACATCAACCTTGTGCTGGCCCTGGCAATTCAGTAAAACCATATCTCCTGAGGTCCAGTACATATAATGCAAGTACACAGCTCCTTAACAGTCTTGCTTGGATCAAGGAAACTTTGGGCTCTGTAGTATTGAATAAAACAGTGGAATTCCTTTACAGATTTCTCCATGGAAATTATTTCTTGCAAATGAACTATGGAAAGACCATCAAATTTGAAGTTACATTCTCTGAGAAGAACCTCAAGTCTAGACATTCTGTTAAATAATGGTGTATTTTAATATATCATTGTTACTAACAGTATTATCATCTCTACATTTTCCCTACTCCCTGATGGAGAAAGGTATAGCTGAAATGTGCTAATGGAGAAAGAAAAATCTCCAAAAGAACAGGAATAATCTTTATCTACTTTTTTTTTTTTCAGAAACAGACTGGCATCAGAATGCTGTCACTCCAGAAATAAACTGTGCAAACAGATGATCTAATAAGTAAAGGCAAAGCTTATAACTTTAAACCAGAAGGAACCGACCAGTTTTATTTCTTCCCTTAAGCAGGCAACAGATTTGTTTTTAACGTAAGGTTTTTTTGAATCCAGTTGTTTTAGCAAATAAACTTCCTTAGAGCTCACTAACTGTACCTGTTCTTCTTCAGCAAGTCCTCCTGACATGTGAGACACTCCAGACACAGAGCAATGTTTCCAGAGCTCCAAAACAGTGAGACTGGGGGGTACAGTGGTCCTGGCTGGCCTGTACCCAGGAGCTCCTGGGGGGCTCTGTGTAGGATGCTCCGAAAAGGGATGCTGAGTCTACTGAAGAGGCAAATCCTCTGAATAACAAAGAGGGCTGACTCACACAGATCTAAGAGTTGCTTCTGTGATTATCAGCAGGAGATGAAGAATGGATGGCTACTTTAATCCCTCTGGACAACAAAGGAATTTCTGTAAAAAGTCCAAACTAATAACGATCTTTTAATTTCCTGCATTACCCAGATTATGAATTTGGCCCCCAGATGTATCTCTACTATTGTTGTTGCTGAAGGGTTGCTTTAGGTGGAGTTTCAAGTGTCACTGTGAACAAGAATTAACCAGAAAAAAAAAAAAAAAAAGAATTAACCAGAAAGTCTCCCACCTGTTGCCATCTTCTTTGATTCTGTGTTATGTTCAATATAGCTATGAAAAATGGCATCTAGCTATGATGGAAAAGATTATGAAAAAGAGAACAGATACAAAAATAAATGTGGGCCTGAGGTTCTGCCTTTTTTTTCTTTTGTTTTTATGAGTCAGATTTATTTAAAAGATCTTCTAAAATTTCAAGTTATTAGCCAGCTTTTTTCAAAACTCTTCATACCTATTACTAATTTTTTGTTTTTTGGCTGTGCAGCATGGGGATCTTAGTTCCCCAGCCAGTGATCAAACCTGTGCCCCCTGCAGTGAAAGCACGGAGTCCTAACCACTGGACTGCCAGGGAGTTCCCTATTATTAACTATTAAATACAAAGAACTTTAGAATTTATAAATTGTGTTTATAAAATATAGATAAGTCATTTCTGCGATTAGCTCATGTCAACTCTGATTGTTAATATATCCAAAAAGTATTTAAGCTTCCCCATTTCACAATGTAACATTCATCTTTATATGCAAAAGAAAACCTGGTTTATATTGACATTTCTTACATATAACATTCTTCTGTTTTACATAATGCAGTGACTGTCAGCACAATATGCACGCACATTTTGAGGTTCATGCATGTTGTAAGGCCACTAAGTTTTTTAATGTTGGCTGTAAAAATACCATGGGCTTCCCTGGTTGCTCAGCTGGTAAAGAATCCACCTGCAATGCAGGAGACCTGGGTTCGATCCCTGGGTTGGAGCATCCCCTGGAAAAGGGAACGGCTGCCCACTCCAGTATTTTTGCCTGGAGAATCCCATGAACAGAGGAGCCGGGTGAGCTACAGTCCATGGGGCTGCAGAGTCTGACATACCTGAGCAACTTTCACACATAAAAACACCACGGTCCTCCCAGTGGCATCCTCAGTCTTCTTGGTTACAGTTCACTGGGCAGCATCTCAGCACCCAGACGACAGAGGCCTTCAGCAGCAGAGCGCGGCATGAGCGAGTCCCAGAAGACAGCAGGTGACTTACCTGGCTGGCTGCAGACGGACTAGCACAGTTCTTCCGGTAACAGGCCAACATGTGGGCAGTCTGGTTAACCAGAATTTCCCGAATGACCTTCAAGGGTTGGTGTAGAACTGCTTTAAAAGCTGTTTGCACAAAACAATGAAAAGGGCGCAAAAAGTTTAGCTCAGAAATGGATCCCTCCACATAATAAAAGAACAAATTGCTATTATCTTCAGACCGCTCAGCTAGGTATAACAGCATTTTAAAATGTTAAAGTCATTGGATAAGGCTCTCCTCTTGACTAAGTATGGTTTAGCCAATGGAAAACAACAGCCTACCTATAACAAAAGGCAGGAAATCAGTCCAGATTCTTCCTCAGAATATTAGAAATAGGACTCTACTCAGAGAAAAGCAAGACCAGCTCACCATCTCGGATGTTCTGAACTCCTACGGACTGGACTGCTCTTCTAAAGCTCAGTGCAGAATTTCAGCTGGGGTTTGGGGCAAGGAGGGGAGAAGGAGCCAGAAAACACCCCGGGCCCCTACCATTTCCTAATTATCTCAGTAAGAGTAATCCAGTTCAGTCTCATGTGAGGGACCCTATTCTTCCATTATCTCCATGTGCCAGAGGGCACAGCACACCATCCTGAGTCTCAGGATCACCTTCCTCAATTTCAACTGTCGCCCTGGGAAGGACTCAGTGTTCTGCTTATTTGTCTAGAGCTAGAAATGCTGACTCATTCTTCACCTTCTGCTTTTATAAATTCTGGATTTACCCACCAGAAGGCTACACAATCCCGATACCTGTTAGCTACTAACTCGGTTTAACCCACAAGGCTGCCTGACCCACTAGGCAAGGTACTCTGCACCCCAGGATTGGCAAAGAGTTACCTGACTTCGCGAAAAAGTTGACGAGGGCATCTGTCTCACAGCTCTTATAGAGATCCGCCAGCTGGGAGCTGCAGTTCAAGGCCAGGTTGTGAATCCGAAGTCGTCTCTGACCGCTGACGGTTGTGTAGAGCACGGCGCACTGCAGAGGCAACATTGCGGGCGCGTGTTTACTGGTTAGCACGTCCACCCAAGCTAGGCTGCTCTTATTACGTGCACAGAAGAGCGTGCACAGCTCCAAGGCCTCTAAAGCCTCCAACAGGCCTTTCCTATTACAGCTAAAGACTAAACAACACAAGGGAGGAATGATGGCCAGCGATTTAAACTTAGGTTTTAATGGGGCTGTTCACATGCAAATACCTGTTTGCGTTTCCACAGCTAGGCTACACTTCCTAGCTTTGATTTTATTGCCAGGGATTCAGGTCCAGAAATAATACCTTCACATTATTATAGTCCTACTCCAGGCTTACTTCACCCAGAAGGAAACAGCTAGCTCTGGTGACAGGTTTTATACTAATGATAAATATATACATTTTGATAATGTGAACAAGTAACCATTTCCCCATTTCTGTGATTTTAAAATACATATTAATTACTAGAGTTCTTCCTCAGTTTGATGTCAACCTCTCCCTTCTTTGAGGGTGATACTGTTGTCTGAAAACTGACCATTAGACTTTCTCCTGTTTAATGTCACAGTCTCCGTGACTTCTAGTTAATCTTATTTGCTACAAAGCCATGTCCTGTGGACATTTGCTTCTGCCAAGATGACCTGTCTCAGCACGGTGTCCGGCGCGTGGCATGGGTGCTGCAAACCTGGGGGCTGAGGGCCGATGCCTGTCATCTGACCTCAAGTCTGCGGGCTCTCATGCAAACACTCCATAGACATCATTACTTCCGAGAAACAGCACAGGAATCAGAGTGTGCAGAATAAGCCACAGAGCCCTCCAATCTAGTGCCTTCCACCTTTGGACTTCCTTCTAGAGAGACTGGCACAGCTGATGGTCCTGGGAGTCTCCCCAATGATCACTGTCAGTAACAAACTAAGCAAAAGCCAGGCGTCCGCTCTGAGTCACCTGAATCAAGGCCCCGGTGTCCTCACTGAGCTTGTCATCGTGCTTGAACTCCACGGTCACGGCTTTGTCACAGTCGATGGCTGCCATCTCTGCGTCGGTGGTGTTGTTCATGTAAATGCCGCCAAAGAAGTCAGTGGCTCTGAAACCTGAGGAGGAGGAGGAGGGAAAATGAAAATTTTGTTTCTCCTTATTTTACTGTCATTTTCTTTGTTGGCCTGTTGTTAGTTTCAAGAGGAAGCACTTATACATCAGAGACCAGAAAACCAGTATAAATGAAAAGTACCTGTGCTGGTACGAACCCGCATGATAGCATCAAATCCTATTTTCTTCTCAATATCATTTCTAAGGTCATTCAAAAACTGCTGGCTGTCCAAGTGCATCTAAAAAATAAAGGACAATCATGTCCACCAGGTGGCGGTAAAATACTGAAAACAATTCTATTAAAAAAAAAATCTTGATTAAAACCTAGTTTATCCAGAAATCTTAGGGTTCAGAAAGCCCTTTCAATGTTATTTCATTTGTGATCTTTGATCTTATCAAATCCCTTAGCTAGTTTACAATATAAGTACGTAGCTATGCAATTAAAAATAATTGCATTCATCAAAATAAAGATGATGAACATTTGTCACATTTCTTGGGGGAACACTCGTTCCCACTCCATGTTTCCACGTGGGGGTACACACACCAGAGGCACCTCCTCACCTTTCTCGGGTGAGGGCAGGTGACATCTGAGTTTGGGACAAGGAGCTGGGTGGGCAGAGCTCAGCCTCTTCTGCAGCCTCTGGGGTGGGGGGAGGGGGGGGCAGCCTGCAGGAGGCACGCACAGCCTGGCCCTCAGTATTGGAGCTTGCAAGGGCCAGGGGTCCAGGAGACGCTTCCATCTGCGCCCACCCTGTGTCTGGTGGTGTCTGTCTCTCAGAGGGGAAAAGCAGCAAGTCCCACAGACCTGGGTCCCTTCCAGTGCTGACATTCTGACCATCTCTTGACTCTCAGTTCAGGCTTGGAAGAGAGGGGTACAATGAACTGACCCCTTCAAACCATAGCAATTTAAAACCAACACATGGTCACTTTAAAAAGCAAACTCAAATATACTGAATATAAGCTTTTATATAACATATAAACATTTTATAGAAAATATTATTTCCCTCCAACAGGGAAGCTTACACAGTGATATTCAAACCTGAGGCTGAATGAGCTCCATCTGTTGCCATACCTTAGGAAGCAGGAGAGCAATTTTTTTTTCTGTAATTTTTAAAAAATTTTCTCTTTGGAGGATAATTGCTTTACGATACCGCACAACAACGTGAATCAGCCGTCAGCATACTTATCTCTCCTCGGTCCTGAGCCCCCACCCCACCCCGCGTCTCCCCCTCCGGCCATCACAGAGCCCGGGTTGAGCGCGCTGGGCCACACAGCAGGCCCCACCGGCCGTGTGTTTCACGCACGCTCGTGTGTCTATGCCAGTGGTGTTCCTCCATTTCGTCCCGCCCGCTCCTTCCCAGGAAAGCAATTCTCAGCCACCGGTCCGTCCTCTGCCGTCGGCTCGAGAGTTCACGTCTATCTGTTGCCCACGAGCGGGCGCAGCTTTGAGGTCCAAGGGGCAGGAGGAACCCGGGGGAACAGACGGCGGGCATTTACCTGGAAGCCGTTGTATTTGTAGAGCGTGCCCCCCGTGAGCAGGGGCACGAGCCCCAGGGAAGCCACGTCCACGTACTGGCTGGGGAAGAGGAAGAGAGTCACGCAGCAGCCGTGAGCCACGCAGTCTTTGGCCAGAGACTCGTAGACGTTGGCCTGAGGCTGGAAAAGGATCTGAAGGAAAGGGCGCACAGACGGGAAATGAAGCCCGCAGAACGTTTCTGTTGATAGCGTCCACTGCGTCCTCCGGGCTGAGGAAGCGGGCCGCGGTGTGCCCAGGGGGCGGCTGTGCGTCAGCGCCCCGTGTGCCAGGCGTGCGCCACGTCAAGTGCACGCACGTGCGTGGGTCATCTGACCCCGACTCCAGGGACGCTGACGCCGCTGCCCTCCCTGCACAGGCCGAGACAGGCGCCCGCCCGGGGTCGCGGGGCCCCGGCTGGATGCCCGTCTCACGGTTCATCCTGCGCCCTGACTGTGTCCCAGGGCAACAGCTCAGAGGGTTTGAGCAAAGCGTATTCGGAGCCCCGGGCATGACAGGACTGCCAGGGGGCTG